GTGGAGGACAGGGGATCTTTGAGATTTCTCATCCACAGAATTACCATGCGTTGGGGTCGACTTAAGAGTAGTTAACTAATGAGTTGATTTTCTTCTTCTTTTCACTGTCCAGCTATCACATCCATACATGGTGATGAAGAATAAAATGACTTTGACAATTCTAACTTTAGTGCTTAACTGTATATCTTTGCTCTTCAGGTTCTTGTCTAACTCTTTCATAGCTGACCTTTCCATTCCTAGTCTTCTTCTGATTTCTTGGTTGTAGTCTCCATTCTGATCAAAGTTTGACCCAAGGTATGGGAACTCTTTAACTATTTTGATTTCCTCATTGTCTAGGATGAATTTATGTGGGTCATATATGGTCATTGCTTTTGTTTTCTTTATGTTCACCAGTAAACCTGTCTTTGCACTTTTATGACCTTCCTTAATAATTGTTCCAAGTCTGTGATGTTTTCTGTTAGTAATATGGTGTCATCTGCACATCTAGATTCTTAATGTTCCTTCCTCCTATCTTTATTATTCCTTCTTCTGAATCTAAACCAGCTTTCTTATTTTTAGCATACAATTTGAACAAATAAGGTAATAAAATGCAACCTTCCCTGACCCCTTTGCCTATTGAGAACCATTCTGTTTCTCTATAGTCTGTTCTAACAGTAGCTTCATACCTTAAGTACAGATCTGTAATCAGGACTATCAAATGTAGTGGCTCTACCATGTCTTTAAAAGCCATCTTTAATTTTTTGTGATCTATGTAGCAAATTTTTTGCTCTAGTCTCTGAAGTAGATGCTATTTTTTTAATTCCTTGGTATGCTCCATAAGTCATCATGTGTTTCAATGTGGTCCTTAGTTCCTCTCCCTTTCCTGCACCCCACTTGCACTATATTGCCAAATTTTGAGCATCATTTTGTAATTTACCTTTTACTTATAATTATTACTTATAATTGTTGTAGTATTTTGTATCTCCTTTTTTGTGATGGGGATGTATATTGATCATTTCCAATCTGTTGGCCACCATTTTGTCTTCCATATTTCTTGACATATATTAGTTAACACTAGAATTGATTCTGTCTGTGTGGATTTAGCAGTTCAACTGGAATATCATCTATTCCTGGTGATTTATTTTTCCCATTATTTAAAAAGAGCTCAGAACACAACTTTTAAAAGTAACTGGCTAGTTATCACTCTGAGGTACCAACATGTTGTTACAATTCTAGAAAGTAACTTTTAATGGGTTTTCAAAATATTACTTAAATAGTTGATTTTTAGTTACTTAAAAAAATCTGAACAGTTGTACCCTGAACTGTGGCATAAAACATGTTCGCCCCCATCCACCTTGTTGTTGCTTCCACAACCATGTGTGGCAGCACAATGAGATGCAGTACAATTAAGCATTTAGACCATGTAATATCTGTCTTCCACAATTTGATGAGACCATAAACAATTTAATTGTATAATGATGAGGGTGGTGGTGGTAGCAGTAGTAGCAATGATAACAATAATAATTTAGTTGTATCCCACCTTTCTCTCAAAATGGGAACTCAAGGTGACTTAAAATTTAAATTTTAAAATATCCATAAGGCTAAAATCATACAAACATTGAACACTAAAATGGAATGAAACTATTTGAAGTATTAAAATAATTTAAACATATACTTAAAAATAAAGATGAAAAGCAAATAAAAACAGTTCAGTTTAA